TATATATATATATATAAAAGAGTTACGAATTTTTCGTGATATTCATTAATTTTGTAATTAATATTTTGCAATATTGATAATGAAATAAAAATATTTAAACATATATTTTGTAAATAATTTTGCCATTTCACAATCTTTTTTTTATCACACACACACACAATCGATAATATGATATAATCCTTTAAATGCACAATGAATATCATGCCAAGGCACTGTAAAATCATATATTTATGGCTTATCATTTACAAACACCCTGTGCATAAATCGCTATTCATAAGAATATGTCAAATATTTAATATAAAGATGTACTGTGTTAAGTTTCTAAATCACTGGCCAAGAGATTCACATGGATTTTTACAAACAGCAATAATTTTATGTCGGTAATTAATTTGAAAGAGAAAATGAAAATGATGATCACAATGCAATGTGCAACACTTGAAATGTAATGTCAGCATTATCGAATTATTTATGAAAAATTCAACATTTTTATATCACGAACAATGTAGCAATCATCTCACATTATACATTTTCTGTAGAAATAGGTTTGCTACACGAAATACGAAAAGTGAACACACATTTACAGTGATTCGTATTTCACATTTAATCATATAATCGAGTTTTTATAAAACGGTTCGATATCATATTCTGGTACCATTCGATACTATAGATTGGTACTTACTGGTAATCTACTGATTGTCCATTAAAAAGCTAACGATTTAGAATGCTATAGTAACTCGTGCAGGCAAGTATATATACTTAACTGATTGTTTACATTTGATCGATGACATGACCGCGCTCTTTTATTCGCACGCTAATTTACTGTCGAAACTACTCAGAGCGATGGCAAATGCCTGGACTGTACAAAGAGGAAATCTATAATCCATTGTAAAAACATCCTCTGCAACACGTCCAAATTGCATCACAACATATTCCACTGAAATTAATTAAAACCCATAACAATGATAATCATACGCGCAATATATCATCAGCATATAATTTTATATATTGTGTGATATTTCCAAATAAATTGATATAATTAAAATTTCAGAGAAATTAAAATACAGAAAACGTTAAATTTCGCTTTGCTCACCGTCACTATCGTGAACCACTTGAAAATTTTTTACGGATGCCTGAGTTACTCGCCCATGGAAGTTAAGCACATAGGATTGTGACTCGTCGTTCCATACAGGTGTCTTATTATGTAATTCTATTAAATTGTCCATATGTTTCGATTTCCAACGTTCTGAAAGTTGAAAAAAATTATACAATATGTTGTAATAATATATAATTAAATAATTTTCTATTCGTAATTTTAATTATAAAACCACATATTTTTGAGCTACAATATAAGCAGAAAGCATATAATATTATTTTGTTTCATTAGATATTTTTGCAATTTGGCATATAGTTCTAGAATACATTTCATTTGCTTTAATTTTTTATTATATGTTTTCTGCATACATTATTTTAATATTAAAACTATAATTACCAAGCAAAGTTTCTGATTCGTCCCGCGGGCATATCTCCACTCGCTTTTGATCGGGCGTCATACCTGGTATGATGACTGTCATTTTACGTGGCCCTTTAAAACCTAGAACGTTCGTATCGTACACTACCGCGGCTAATTCTTGCCGCGGATTGAAACGCTCATCGCGTTTGTCATCTTTCATTAGCGAGTATCCGTTGTCATAAATTGTGAATTGCGTTCCCAAAAGATTTGATCGAAGTTTACCTACATAAGACTCTCCTCCTCTCGAAAGATCCGTAGGATCGGTTGAGATTAAGTAATTGCTCGTTGTGCTTTTTTTCCTTTTTCGACCAGCCAATAAAAAGATCTACAAATATACAATTGATATATGGAAGATCGAAATGAACAAATGAATAAATGTACCTTCTTTCCATAATCACGTTCTAGATGTAAAAAGTAGGTCGGATAAAGACCACGATCCATTCCTTTCCGATCGCGAGTTATTCGACATTTGTAATACATTTTCTTATTCGCCGGTTGTAACACGAATTGTTCAATGTTACCTTCAACATTTCCTTCCAATTCTGGACTCTAGAAAATCAGAGGCACAAAAAGCAATTATTTCAATACAATCTTTTTCATTTTTAGTCTTATACTCATATATATGATTATGTATGAAAAAAAAAAAAATTATAATAATACGTACAGAAGAATTATTATCTCTATTAATAAGAGTATTAGTTCCTTCCGATGGTGCCACTCGAAGTGGCGAGGAACGTGATAGAGACTCTGAAGGTGAATGCAGATCTATGGGTGATGATTCCTCGTCGGCACAATCAACATTTTGAAAACTTTCGTATAGACTTCTTTCGTTGACCACTGCTGATATATATTAGTATATTAAGATATATATTATATATGTGCTTAAACACATTAGTTTAATTAGTGCGTCGGTTTAGTATGTCGCGAATTAATCGCGTTTTCGTGTAATTTTTCATTTTTGTTCCGATAAGCGGTTCGATTTAAATCGGTTAAAATTTGATCAATTGCCCCATAAGAGCAGAGTGGGAGCATCTTCGTTTAATTCCGTCCCCACTCTTGTCTTATGCACCATATGGTGTCAATGTATTGTGTCTTTGTATGTAGATAACTGTACACCACCGACCCTTCTTTTTCACTACATATATTGAAGACATATATGTTTTGATTTGATGATCTGATTAGAACAATTTAACATAGCTTCTGCGATATTATAGCGTTTATAAGCCATTACAATACGATAATAATCATATATGTATTTAATATATTTTTAAATAATTTTTAATATAACTTACCATTAATTGTCCCTTCACTAGTTTTTCTCTCTGCATATGGTCCTACATCTGCATTCGCTTGAGACATAGTATATTGTAATGGACCATCGTATGCTGTAAACATATTACAATATCTTTACTAAAGATAATTTTGACATTCCAAATTGCATTTATGATAACCATTAATTGTAATCATTTTATTCGTTAATAATTATAAAATCATTTTATTTTTATATTATGTTACCATGAAGTTCCTTGTTTGGATTCATCCATCTATTTGAATGACTTCTAAGTTGTGCACTGGATACATTAGATGCCTGCACCATTCCACTAGCACCAGTTTGCCTTTTCTGTTTCATCTTTTGTGCAATTAATTGTCTCTATATTGACATACAAGATATAAATATATTATGATACAGCATAATTTGCCAATATAAAAATAACAAATGAAAAATTAATATTTTGACTCAAAAGATTATTGTTTAAATATATAAGTTCAGTTTGATGGTATTCACAAACTTCATTCTTGCGTGATCTACTTAATTTTAAAATATATTCCCAGCGTGTGTTATGCACAAATATGTATAATATAAATATACATTTTTTTAAATATAACAAATAACTACTATATGACATATAAGATCTATGTAGATTTTAGTCTGCATATAGAGAAGAGGAATTCAAGGCTACTTGAGAATATTAGCTATTATTATCCAAGCTTTCGAGCGTTCGTTAATTATTCATAGAGCAGTTATTTAAAGTTTAACTTAGATTTCATTGCTTCCAATTGCTTGTGCATATAATTATACGTCGCCAACAGTAAATTACTTGGGTAGATTTTCCATAAATTGATTCTTCTCGTAACATTTTTGAAAATTAAATGGGTCGCGCTATATCGTATGAGAAACAGGGTTACATGCTCGGAGACAAAGTTTGCGTGTTGAAGGTAAAAGACTTGCGGTTAACGTTATCGTGCTTAAGTCACACCTGCTGTTCCAGCTTCTGCTGTCGTAAATCGAGCGATGTCATCTCACGTGAAATTGGTCGTCGGATAACAAATCCAAAGTTGAAGATACACAGTCTCAGCCGCTGACAAATCAGTTTTGTTTACGTCAAGCACACTCGTTCATTTACGGTACCTAGGCAACCGTTCACTCCAAACTGGACGGCGCATCATAGCCTTCATGGTGAATTCACAAAGGTGAAGATTAAATGACATTTTCGTCGCGCCGTGAAAATACCATATACCTAAAGTCGAATTAGAGTGCATTCTGTTTGACGTTCTATGTACGAATCATTCGAATAACCAATCAAGACGAAAGGGACAAAGATTTCTTTGCTTCGATTGGTCAATCAAACGCTTCGAAATTCACTGCGTACATGGGTACTATGAGTAGTAAACGCGCATGCATCTGATAATCCCACGACCCACGACTCACGATCCACGATCTTGAAATTATTATCGGTGTTTTCTTCTTTGTTTTCTTCTTTTCTTACAGGATACAGGATACGGAGAGTGAGTGGGAACGATTGCATTTGTACTTGTTACAGCTCTACGTTGCTTTTTTTGCATCTCCAATCTCTCAGATTATTTCATATATATAATTTCAGCACCGATATGGATGACGAGGATGAGACATATAAACTGTGGCGCATCAGAAAAACTGTAATGCAATTGTGTCATGATAGAGGTTATCTCGTAACGCAGGACGAATTGGATCAGACATTGGAGCAATTTAAAAATCAATTCGGCGATAAGCCGAGCGAGAAGAGACCGGCTAGGAGCGATCTCATTGTTCTTGTAGCGCATAATGACGATCCTACCGACCAATTGTTCGTCTTCTTCCCAGACGAGCCGAAAATTGGCATCAAAACTATAAAGACCTATTGCCAACGTATGCAAGAGGAGAAGATTCACAGGTGGGTCTATTACACATATTTCAATACATTTTATATTATTATGTCTGTTTTGTCATTATATATTATCATTATAGATTGTGTCACACATAATTGTCATTTATATCATTTGTTTGTTATTATCATAATATCTTGCTAGTTTGTTCAAAACTAGAAGAAGTATTAGCTTCTCAATCAAACTAACAATTTTTAAGAAATTATTAATTATTGACGACTAATTTTAAATAATCTCAATATTATCGGATAGCATAATATTAAAATTGAACATTATAAATGCACATTATTATTATGTTATTCCACTTGTACTTAATATATGGAAAAAATTATAAGGTATTATTATTGATGATTACAGAGCAATTATTGTAGTCCAACAAGGCATGACACCTTCAGCTAAACAATCGTTGGTAGACATGGCACCAAAGTACATACTGGAACAATTCCTGGAATCTGAGTTATTGATCAACATTACTGAACATGAACTGGTACCCGAGCATATTGTTTTAACTCCGGATGAGAAAGAGGAACTGCTAACGAGATATAAGCTGAAGGAAAATCAATTGATGCGGATACAAGCTGGCGATCCAGTGGCACGATACTTTGGTTTGAAGCGTGGACAAGTCGTCAAGATCATTAGGCCATCGGAAACTGCAGGGAGATATATATCGTACAGGCTAGTTTGTTGAGGGAAGAAAGAGGGAAAAGTATATCAAAGACAAATTGTAATAAATTTTCATAGATTAAAGAACACTGCAGTTCGAAATTTGCCATTTATTGTACCAGCATTTTATAATGGCGTCCTCTTCTACCTGTTCTGTTATATCATCGCGCTAATAATAACTACAATTATATTATATCATGTTATTGCTATGTGTAAGAAACTGTGGCACCAAGTGTTAAACATACAATCAGCAGTGAATAATTGATTCTCATATTTACGTATACGCCGCGTTTTCCCTTATCTTCTCTGTAAGTTTCATATTTTAATGCACTTATGTTGCACGGCGATTACATGCGTAAAATGCTTGCACAGTTTATCAGCTCACATTTATAGTCGATATTAAGACATATAGCTTAAGTTAATTAGCAATAGAAACAGCAATCGTACAAAAGAGAAAGCGACTCGCGACGATTTATTCACGATCGCCAGACTTGGGTAAACATTTGTTTTGTTATTTATTATTATTATTATTATTATTATTATACATTGCTTGGTCCAAAAGTATTATGCTTTACAGTGTATTTTAAAGTAAGGATATATCGGTAGCAGAGTTTTTTCTTGGAGCAATTTTAATTTGATTAATTCATCGATTAATAAATAATCACATTAGATATAATTCATTAGGTGATTCGTTCTACTAATAGTAGATACATAGATCTTTTCGAGTCTAATTGCATTTGGTCAAGAAATATGTTTGAATTATTATATTATATTGTTTTTTTCTCTTATCTATTTTTTTCTTATTAATAATATTCTTTAATTTGCACACAATTTAAGTCAAAGTTGTATTTATGTAATTCATCAGCAGTCTACTAACGTAGTTAAATAATCAATCGTCGCAAATTTGAATCTCTTGATTCAAAAGGGTATGACATTAAGTCACAAGACGTGCTTGGATTGTTCTGTAAACATCGAGACTTTTGAAATTCCCCAATTTAAATTTTACTACATAATCCCTACTAGATTCGAATTTCTAATATTAAAAATATTCTAGTGCCTTTATTTCTCTAATTATATGGGACAAACGTCGAGCATTTGTTATTAAAAAACCAGCGCAATGAAGATATTGATCGTGAAACGTGAATTTCCGTTTCTAGGATTTATCGCGGTCGGTTGATAAAGCTAAAAGCATACGACAGCAGGAAGTCTCTCGAATGGCATACTCGCTATAGCATGTAGTAAATGGGCAGACCGACTGGTCACTCATTATACTCGTTACGAGATAAATGCTACCGGTATAATAGCATGTTATCTCGCGACGCTGTTATTCGAAGGATTATAATCGGTACCGTTTGGGCACAAGTAAACAAAGCACACGCGGCCATAATTAATATAATATATTGTTATCAATAAAATGTAACATAACACATTAATAGTCATAATTATAATAATAACCATAAAAGATAATAATAATTACACAATAATGCTACGAACTTTTGTGCTTTACGCCGTAAGTAAGGAAAACGTAGAATCATCAAAAAGAAGGCTTATAAAAAAAAAAGGAAAAAAAAGAAAAGGTAAAACAAAAATGTACATATGCGATTATTCACGAACGCAACTCCGCCATAGGTGGAGATCGCGCTCTAGAGACCCTTAGATCCTTGGAGACATACATAGATACTTAGATAACTCTTAGATAAAGGATCATTATAGATTTTTTGTTAGAATTTTATAAATGCTTAAATCTTTAGATCCTTAGGCATCTTTTAGGCATCTTTAGATCCCTAGATATTCGTAAACGCATTCATATATCCTTGGATCTTCGGATATCGTCGGATATCTTTAAATATTTAAATCGTCTTTAGATCCTAGATGTTGTATCTTCGTGCTCGGACGTTTCGATGTAGTATATTGTTTCTTTTTTCTCTCTTCCTCCAAATAAACGCGATAACTATTCTTCTGCAATACCATCTTGATGTTGGAATATATGATCACTTTTAATCGTGTTTATACTCAGAAGACTTTTCGACGAGACCACCAATACACTTTAGCGGCCCATTCGATAGGTGAGGTTTGCAAAATATTGTTTATCAAATCCGCAGCGATTCGGATTCTGTAAGTGATAGTGGTGGGATAAGACGGCCGCTGTTCCCAATAACGGCCTCTGTGCATTCGGCCGTATAAGGCCTGAAAAATTACATTAATAATTAGTTAAGAGAGACATATAAGGAAAGACATATATATGAAGAGAAATATATCAAATGATAAGAAAAAAAAATGCAAGAACAAAAAACTGTTTTTCTTTATTGCATAATATTATCGTATTTGTTTTCAATGTCGCGCTTTTTTATTTTCACACAAATTGTATTTCATCTAAATTTATAAATAGAGAAATAATGTAGATATTATAATAGCAAGATGTATTGATTTCTTACCTAGGAGTGGTATGGCGTAACATAGGTAGACGGAAACAATCCCCGTCTATTACCGATCTCTCCGTGCCACCAGTGTTGATCTGTGCGGTCTGTGACAGTGATTACGTCCCCTCGTCGGAACTCTAACTCGCCCGGCTCCTGTGGCGTGAAATCGTAGAGCGCTTGCACCAGACACTGAAAGCCATGACACAATCGTTTTACGCGGTGACACTAAAATAATTAAGATACTTTTCTTGAAACATTTATATATTTTTTATGAATTAAATGTTCTGAAGAAAGAACAATATTTGTTTTTACCTCCTCTGGAATCATATCACGCAGCTTAACGTCTTGCGAGCGAGAAACAGATGCCGTGCGATGGTACTCTACCAGTTCATTGAGGCTATTAAACTTGACAACCCATAGAAAGAACTTGCCCTGTGCGTCTCTTAACACTTTAAAGTGCTGCACACCATCGGAGCATCTGTAGATATAACAACACTTATTTATTTTATTTAATATATTTAATAATTAATAACAGAATTAATTATTATATGTAGAGAATTTGTAGCATCCTTTTATATAAGTTCTATATAATACAAACTTTTCCATTTCATCGAAAAATTTTAATAATGACACAATAAATTGTAGTTATATAACCACATATTACTTATGTATCGTAACAAATATACTCACTTTACAGATAGGGAGAAATCACCAGGAGAGCTTTCACTGATTCTGATCAGAAAGGCACCTTCATGTTTGTTCGATAATAATCTTTCAGCGTCTGCTCTGGTTATCCTTCCATAGTACCAACTGTAACAAACACATATAAAATATATATAGAAAACGATTTTTGTATGTGAAAAAGGTACATAATACTATAAGTATATTTTTGTTGAGGAGAAAATTTGAAAAAAAGCAAAATTTTACACGGATATTGTATGCTTTATTAGATATATAATTTTTTTCTGCACATCAGATACATTTTAATAGCATGCACACATACATAATATTCCTAATACATACTCATGGCTCTTCATCTCGATATAATTACTTGGTATAAGCCCTTCTCTAGAATCTAATTCAGCTCTATACCAATTCATGTCATCCTCCATATTCAGAATCTACAAAAGAGAGATGTATTTTACATGGGAATTATATTATACATAAAGAGATTATATATAAAAAATATAATATTAATTATTATACACACATTTATAAAGATATATGTGTGCATCACACTACATAAATATTTTTACATTAACATTTCAAAGCAAATATAGAAAATAAAAACTACATATGCAAATGAAGAAGGAAAAAATTAATTATATCTGTTATATAAATAACATATTTTTGTGAAGACATAGTCCTACAAAATATAATCTTATCTTATTTTAGTAGTTAATTATTTTTTTAATGGCTGCTATAGATTTCTGTCTTGAATATCGCACGTTCAAAGCACTTGAATAAACCTTATCAATGATACCAGGCATTTTTACCCACTCCATAATTTAAAGAATAGATCGATATAAATTATTGCTCGTGTGATACAAAAATTACAGTAAAGCACAGATGTCGGACATAAAAAGTTTTCTACCCATTTATAGCGCAAAAAATATCGAGAAATTACTACGACATTTAAAAAAAATTGCCAATTCCTGCATATATTGTCACGTGCTCTCTACTATGAAAGAAACGACAAAGCGCGAAAAACATAAAGTTATACAAATCATTGATGAGATTTGTCAACAAGAGAAGAAACATAACGAAACAATACTATCGCGGATTTTTAAGGAGATTAGGAATTTAACCGACGCGGAATTGGATTCATTCAATGACAATGTCATTGACGACGATGAGACAATTACAATCGACACGGCGGCGAATTCGTTAAAAACGGGAGCGAATGAGTGGGTGGAAAATATCATCGCTATATCGTATCGTAACAAGAATAACGATAAATAATTTGGGACGCTCAGACAAATGACCGGCGAAAGTAATCGTCGATAATGACGATTTTTGCGAACGAGAGGAAAAACCCGAATCGCTCGTAAGAATAGCAATGATCATTGACAACGATTCGTCGCGAGTCGATAATTGTCGTCAATGATTGTCGATCACAAAACTATTATCGACGATTTATTGACCAAAAACAACCTAGTTTAACAATCTAAAAAATTAAATACGGCTTTTCTCATTAATGAGAAATTCTATATATATATATAAATTAGTGATCTTAATATGTATATCTGGATATTATATATATAATATTATATCATCGAGAATGTATAACAAATTAAAATATAAAATAAATTTGCAATTTTAGATCATTGAGTTTTTCGTGGAAAAAAATTTGCAAGACTTTTTTCTCATCGCTATTTTCTTATACATAATTTATATAATATACTTGTGTCGTAATTTTTACAAATGTTATCATATAGAAAGTTTTCAGTCTTTCTTAATTAAGAAATTCTTTCAAAGTTCTTTCTTCTACTATCAGGCACAATTGTCATTTTATCTTTCATCCATATAGAGAAAAATTAAAAATTACTTACAACAGATTGAAAAATATATCAAGTTTAAAATACATTTGCTCGCTTTAGCTACGTATTATTCTAATTTTTTTCCCCTTTTTTCCCCTCGAAAACGCGATATATCTGTGCTCGTATTCTTTTTAAACGCAAACAAGACGCAAAGAAAGTGCGACTATAAAAGAAATGGACGTAGTAAGAGTATTATTTTACGATAAATACTATCAATATCGTTTCAAACAATAAGAGAATTGTTATCGCTTCGAGCGGTAGTAAACATATATAAATGTCTCGCGTGCAGGCGCAACAGCTTTCCAGCACGGCGAGAGAACCGATCGACAGCGTATAGGTATGCGACACAATAACAATTAGCTTCTCGCTTCTAAAATGCATACGCGATGCGGAGAGAGAAAAGGAAGGAAGGAAGGAAGGAAGGAAGGAAGGAAGAAACGATAGATGTTTCGGGATCGCGGACGAGAAGTCCCGTGACCGCTGCGACGCGACGCGGGACGCGGCTCGCCTCCTCGTCTCGTCGCCTCGTCCACCGAGACAGGCCATGGGTGACGAACGATGGGACGATGGTCAGGTCGTTTGCCTAAAGTTGTACCAACCTTCAGGACCTGACTCCTGCGGAAGCTGAGCTCGTCCTCGGCGGTAGCCGTAAAGTCGTGCTTCGCGATCGCCTCCATTCTTCGCCGAGACGACGACGGGAAACGGGTGACGGGTGACGGGTGACGGGAGACGACGAACCGCTACTGCTGGAGGGGGCGAGAGGGCGCTCGCTATACGATATTTCGCACTGTAGCGGCGAGTAGCGAGTAGCGAGACGGAGTGCTACGTCCAGACGCGAGAGAGGAGGGGAGGATACAGGAAAAGAGAGAGAGAGAGAGAGAGAGAAAAGGCGTTCGTTGTGCTGCACGCAACGCGTATTTAACTCGTGAATAATATGCAAAAGGCAATATATGTATACGAAACTTGCTAGAGCAAGCGATATGAAGCTTCTTATTAGAGGGAGTGAGAGGACGATGTAAAAGGAAATTAGAGGAAGCGAAAGATTGCGCACAAAGCACAGGAAGAGAGGATTTATACGTGTGCAATATAGCTTATATACGCGAGATGCACGACGCGCTATATAAAGTGCGCGGAAAAGAAAGAGAAAAGGATAATAGGAAGAAGAGAGACACGCTTTTGATAAGGAGAGTCGAGGGATGCTTGCAGTTGTTGCTTGTTGCCGCGGCGACAGGGCGACAGGGCGACACCGACGTCACCGTCCTTTGTCCTTGCTCCGGCTGGCGGCTGGCGGCGGGCGGAGTCGGTCGAAATTTAAGGATATTGTACTCGCCGTATATGTGCGCGCGTGTGTGTTTGTGTACGCACACACAGGAATGAGGAATCTTGGACACGTAAGCCGTAAGCGAGCACCGATGCGCTCACGTATACACCTCGCGCACAGCTCGTCTTTCGATATACGCACAGATTCGCTATCTATAAATCCCGGATTAGAGCCTCGATCATCGTATTTTTATCACCGCGATCGCGATTCCGATTCGATTCCCGCACGTTACGAAACACGGAACTGTCAAAAGCGATCGCACGCACTATCGCGACAGTCCATCGCTGGTCTTATCAAGCATTACACTTGTTCCATTCGGCGAGTCTCGGCTTTACTCGGCCGTATTCGGCATTCGGCGTCGCTCATCACCTGGGTTACGTTCAAAGATCCGCTCGTCGGATCGAGTAACGCTCGATTGGCCAATCACGAATCCTTGCTCCTCTTGTCCCGATTGGTCAATGGAACGCCATTTCACCGGACGAGTAGATTTTTGAACGCAATCGGCTATCGCGCACGCGCGACGTCAAGTGACGTCATCGAGCCTCGCGCCATGGACGAGATACGAAAGGGTGCGTTGTATCCATGTTGTATCATCGTATTTCTACGCGACATATCCGTCCCCCGAATGATGGCGACTTTCGAAAGTTTTTTTCTATTACGCTTACGTCAGTCGTCTTGCGACGTCAAAAGCGGAACTCGAACGCCGGAGGGAGAGAAATTAGGAGGAAATACACGCGCGAACAGTTCTTGCAAATTGCGTCAAAGCGGATGAGTTTTAATCCAAGTCGTATACGGCGATAACTTTGCTCCATTTATTACCTGGTACATCGTGTAAATATCAGAAAACACGTTAATTTTGAGACGCGAAATTAAGAAGGGTTTCTCTCACTTTTTTTTCTACTATCTTACAATTAGCAGCACTGCTAAAACATTACACATTTGGTTCTTATATATATTTATATATAAGATTTTATATGAGAAAAACACAAGGTACACTAGTTTTAACCAACTCTTATATGTAGAGTCTTATAGATTTGATTTTCCTATTTTACTATTTTACTTAACTATTTTGTTTAAGCAATCTTTAAATTTGTCTCTTTTTAGAAAATCTGATGTATAATTTTGCTTCTTAATCATCATTACACATATTACACGCTTCATATAAATGTTGAAAATTTGAATTTCGCGCTTGCGCTTGGCTTCGTTATTCGTTGTCGCTATGCTTTATATTTCTAACTTCATGCCTCGCATAATCTGTGATCTTTATACAGTCGAAATGTCGAAAACGGTGGCAGTCGAAAGGTAAAATCATAAAATATATCCTGTATCTCTGATAAAAAAGATAGTAAGTTGATTTTGTACAAATCACACAAGACCAGTCAAATGTAGTTATAAACGAAAATCGTAGAAAGTACATTTCTTTGCAGATTTTATTCTCAAACTTGCTTTAATCATATTTATATTATTTAAAAATTCATGTATTACTTTTTTTTTTTTTATTTATATGAGTGAAAGTTGTGCTTTTATTTTTAAGCAATCGAATACTTGAAAATTAATAATTTAATATGTTTAATTTAACAAAATGACAATATATTTTATAATTTGTAGTTTCTCCATGGAAAATGACGAAGGACGAAGGGCCGCGCAATTGAGAGGCCGGAAAGTGGCGTCATCTTGTTAAGCAGCAGTCGGCAAATCAGGGCCCAGGGCGAGGCGATCCGTCTAGTGATGTGACAATAAACGGGTATGTGATTCTAATGCAATACGAAACAGGCGACGTAGTACGAAAATAAACAGAACACCTCGTGTTTACGGAAGTCCGTAACAGGTGTTTTTCATCCCCTTCTCCTCCTTGTGAACCACCTCCGCTTTGCTGTTCCCGCAACCTAACCTCCTCCGTCCGATTCAGAGATAGAGAGAAGGGGACAGAAATGCAAGCAAAGCATGTCCATTCGCTTACGTAGGCACTCGTCTTGCGTTCTTCGTGCAAACTCGTCAGCCGTTTCGGTCACGGATGTTTGAGTCCTTGGATACCGAGTATGTTCGCGTAAGAACCTCGGCAT